TGAAGAGATTGAGATTGTTAATCGTTTTAGTTTGCGTGGCTCCACAGTCAACACTCTTGGTACCAGCAGCTAAGAAATCAAGAGATGAATTGCATTAGGAAAGCCAGCTGTCAGGGACCTCTCCAGAGTACTGAAGAGCAACGATGTTGGGCTGGAGACTAAGGTGCGCCTGACCCAGGCTAGAGTCTTCGCAAATACATGCTATGCATCAGAGTTGGACAATGACTAGGGATGACAGAAAAAGAATTGATGCCTTTGAGCTGTGGTGCTGGAAAAGAGTGTTGAATATCCCATGGACTGCTAGGAGAACAAAGAGGTTTGTCCTGGAGAGGGTGAAGCTGGGTTGCTCCTTGGAGACAAGGATTCTGAGGCTTCATCTCACATACTTTGGGCATGTTGCAAGGAGGAACTGGTCCTCGGAGAGGGACATCATGTTTGGGAGATGGAGGGACAGTGCAGGAGAGGAAGACGCTCGATGAAATGGATCGATTCTGTGATTGGGGTGGTGGGAGTGAGTGTGTTGGAGATGGTGAGGTTGGCACAGGATAGAGCAGGGTTTAGGGCTCTTGTACATAGCTTGTTGCTATGAGTCGCAAGCAACTTGATGGCACATAACAACAACAACAACAGCAACAATTTTAGAAAAAGTGCAGCCAGAATACTCCTTCAAAAAGAGAGTGACAAGACTTTCGTCTCACATATTTAAATATGTTCTTGGGAGAGATCAGTTCCGGGAGAAGGATATCATGCTTGGTAAAGTAGAATGTTAGTCCGGGGGTGGGGGTGGGGGGGAAAGGAAGGGACACCGTCTTCTTGTTGTTCTTGACAAAGTGGTTAGCAACGATTGTGAAGCTAGTGCAGGCTTGGGCAGTGTTTTGTTCTGTTGTTGCTATGAGGCAGAACCAACTCAGCATCATGTGACAACAATGAGATAGGAGTGCTCTCTTACTTCCAAGAAGTAATAGTGAAGATGTAGGCTGTGTCCAAGTCAGGGGGAATCACCTAAGAATCCATAATGCCTTCAAGTTACATGTAACCACCATGTACATAATATCATATGTGTGAGTAATTTATCAAGTGAGCTTAGAGAATATTTTAATTTAGACGTAGATGTAAAGAAGTACAATGAGGTGTTTAGTAAACACATCTTTAAGATAGCTAAAACCTGCATGAGGTGTATGTGAATGTCTGTCTCTATTCAGGTCTTTTTATAACTTAGAAACCATTAAGTTTAAAATTTATGGCATAGAAGTATGAGCTCAACTGATTGATTGCATTAGAGCAGGCTGTATTATGGAAAACGATTATATTACATTACATTAGAATGCGTTCTTGAAAGGAATAGGCTGTACTCAAGACCAGTTTATTTAAACACACATAACTATTCCAAATCCACAATAGCAATTAGACTAGTGTTTGGTCAAATCACTGAGAGCGATAGCCTAGTCAAGGTGACAGAGAAATTAACCATCATTTTTAACAATTACTTTGTCAATTCTTTATCAATAACAACATTTTCCACCACTTTTATACTTGCTTTATGGCTTTTCTTCACCAAAATACCATTTAATCTTCACCAAAATACCGAGATCATAGTACTATCGCTGTTCTCAGTACACAGGTAAAGAAATTCTTCTTTGTTCCCAGAATTCATTACTATTCATACTCGCCCTGCTAACTCCAGAGCCCTTTCTTGCAGCCCTACACTCAACTTTGTATTTTACTATGTAGCCACAGATCCCTCTTCCTTATGTACACTTTTGTACACTATGCACATGGGGTCCTGATACCTTCTTCTGACTCCTTTTACTACAGAAAAGGTGAAAGCATTCTGGAAAAGAGCCTCAGTTCTGATCCTGTGCATAATTCTCTCAGGTCCTGCAGAGACGTTTGGGAGTCACAGGAGATTTTTTCTCATCCAACTCAGGCCCACATCGTTACATTGGTTTTTTTTCTGACATATTGCGCAGTAATTTTGATTATTTAAGCTTTGCACAAGTGCCAAGGCCCACATATGATCTTGCTAAGGAGCACTGACCTTTCCCGCGTGGGTCACTGGAGAACTCAGATGACTGGGCTGGATTAGCGCGCTCTGTCTTGCTCCATCTGTGACTATCTCCGCATGGACTTCTGTCCCATGGGATGCTGTCTTTTGCCCAGTTGTGCCTCTGATTTCCAGACTATGGTGACAAGAGGATCTAAGTTTCCTTCCCCATTTTACCAGGAAGACCAACTTCCTGACTGGAATCTGAGCTGAAGCAATTCTTCCGGCACTGAACTTTCGGGCGAATTTTCATAAACTATTCTGTGTCATCACATCGGCAGGGGAGCTGGTGAGACACCGTTCACATACTTATAATGCATTTATTAAGCACCTAGTAAACGCCTTGCTTGAAAGCACTTTTCTGAGTACCAGAGTTTCCATGGTGATCAAACTAGAAATTGTTCCTGCTCTCACAGAGTTTACTTTTTTTTTTTTTAAGGAACCAGACACATAAAGAGGCAATTGCAATAAAATTTGATAAAGGTTCTAAGAGGCAATACAAAGCATTATGAGGATGCAGGGAAGGGGCTGAAACTCTCTTAAACTCGAGAGGCTGGGCAAATTACTTGAGGGAAGTAACATTTAATCTAAGAACTGAAATGACTAAAAGTAAGGTAGGTGACAAGATTGCTGAAAAAAAGTTTTCAAGAAAGAAGAAATGTATTATCTTAATACAATCTTAATGGGTATAGCGAGATTCTATTTAAAATTATGAAAAGGTTGGCAAAAGAAATAGTTCTGGTGGATTAAAATAAGTAATAGTAATAGTTAACATGGCAAACTTTGCTATACATACTTTTCCACAATTAAAAAAAATTTTTTTTCAAAAAAAGAAAGAAGAAATAGCAAGTTGAAAGACCTAGTGACAGAAAAAACTTCCAAAACCTAAGAAGCAGCTATTAAATCAGGATGAATGAAGCTGAGTTTGGTATGTTGTTGTTGTTATGTGCCGTCGAGTCGTTTACGACTCATAGCGACCCTATGCACAACAGCCCTAAACCCTGCTCTATCCTGTGCCAATCACATTGCCTCTGACACACCCATCCTGATTACCCCAGTCACTGAATCAATCCATCTCATAGAGGGTCTTCCCCTCTTGCGCCGTCCCTCCACCCTCCCAAGCATGGTGTCCTTCTCCAAGGACCTGCCCCTCATTGCAACATGTCCAAAGTATGTCAGACGAAGCCCCAGAATCCTTGCCTCCAAGGAGTTGCTTGGTTTAATCCTCTCCAGGATGAATCTGTTTATTTTCTTGGCAGTCCATGGTACATTCAATACTCTTCCCCAGCACCACAGCTCAAAGGCATCAATTCTCCTTCTGTCCTCCCTAGTCATTGTCCAACTCTCTGATGCATAACAAGTGATTGCAAAGACCATGGCCTGTATCAGGTGCACCTTAGTCTCCAGAGAGACACTGTTGCTCTTGAGTTTGGTATAGGATGTGGCAATATACAGAGTTGGAAAGGTGGACACGGTGGGGATGTTTTATGTGCCATCTCGTCAAAACTGACTCATAGTTGATCACCCAGCAGGTTTTCAGAGGCACCCAGTAAATGACTTTATTGGAAGAATAAGGAGTAGATTGTCCATCTTTCTTCTATGGAACAGCTGGTGGTTTTAAAACATGTGCCTTTGGGTTAGCAGCGCAGCTCTTTATCACCAGATCACTAAAGCTCCCTTATGAGGGTTGCTGTTGCCTAATCTCTCTGTAGACCGTGTAGCTATCACTTGCTTTTACAAACAAAATTGCTGTACACTAGATATTCATAGGGTCACTATGAGTTGCCTACGGCTCGATAACACTTAATAACAGCATAGAGAGAGATAAGTTGGCCTAGTGGACAGAAAGTCATGCTCCTAAGCCAAAGGTGAGTGACTTTACTCCGCAGCCCTCAGGCCTACCTTTAATTGTTTTTGGTGAAACATTCTTCTAGGTCATATAACCCTGGTATATGCAGAGGTAACTTGTGGTTGCTGTGAAGCTGAACACTGTAACACTGATGAGTCAAATGAGAGAATGGTTACCCATGGTGGACAGTGTTTGGTGGAGCTCCCCGATTAAAACAAGCTTAGAAGCAGGAGTGGCATCCACTTCCACAATAGCTTGCCTCTGGAAACCCTATGAACCTGGAGAAAGGCTGAAAGTTATACAGGTATCCAGGTCTTTCGTTCATTGGGTCACTATGAGCCACCTATGACTCAATGGCAGGTAACAACAACAACCAACAACAACAACAGACATTTAGTGGGAGGTGATGGGACTGAAGAGTATAATTTTCTGAGTACTAATATGTTTGAGTGAGCTATGGCTCAATGACACATAGCAATAACAGAAGTGTGCTGTGGATAGGAATGATCCCAGAGATCTTTAATCCTGTGCCTTTGTCTGTATCCTCTAGGGACCTCAAGACCTCCTCTCTCAAGTAGAATGTCTCATTTATCAACACATTCTCCATGCACCTTCCTGAATCTTCCTCTTCCTGTTGAGAGCAACACTGTCCATTCTATTAACTGGCTTTCTTAGTCCAGGCCTGTGTTGATGCTTCTGGTGTTGCTGCTTCCTCAGTCGGGCCTGACCATCGTTTCTGAGATTGGCCTTGCTGTCCTTCTTTCCTGTGGCTCTTCTGATGCAGCCACTGAAATTGTTTGTACTCAACAGGGGGAGGGGAATCAACATTATTTAGTATTTCCGAGAACTAGGCACTGATTCAGCCCCTTTAATAAAACAGTAATTCTATAAGGTTTTATCTATATTTGGACAAATGGAGAAACTAATGCTCAGAGACATTAAATTATTTTCCTCTATCCATCAAACTAATAAGAGGCAAGATAGGATCTGAACCTAGCATGATTAAAAAATCACTCTGCATAACATTGCCTCTTTTCTTGTCAACATTGTAATTTTTTAATTGCTGCTGTTAGATGCCATTGTGTTGGTCTGACTCATACCAACCTTATGCAATTTAGAAGTAAACACTGTCAGAGCCTGTCCTATTTTCATGATAATATTCAGAGAGCTATAATCTGTAGAATTTTTACTGACTAATTATCAGAAGGTGGAATGCCAGGTCTTTATGCCCAGTGTGTGTTAGTCTCCACACACCATTGAAACCTATTCAGCATTATAGTTGCGTGCAAGCTCCCATTTACTCTGCGTGGGTACCTTGGTCAGGAATTGAGTCCAGGCCTTCTGTGTGACAGATGAGAACTCTGCCACTGAACAGACACAAGAATTGAAGGATGTTAATAAGAACTTCCACGGTTCCTATTAACATCCTTCAATTATTTCCATTTAGATTTTTTGTTATTAACCCTTCTTGAGGATGAATTATCCAATGATTGAGTCAGAGTTTTATGAGGGTCTTCTTGAGGGTCTTCTTCAAGGGTCCTTCTTCCATGTAGGAAGGATAGAATTCATGTCATACCCAAATCATGTCAATGACATGACCTCCCAACTCTACCTCCATGATTTAGGACAGCCCCTTAGTCTATCAGCCTCCATTATGTGAGAGATTGTCAGGACAGTGTAGAGCAAGGCAAGGCTCAGATCTGTTGTTCATAGGACCACTAAGAATTGTAGTTGATGTGACAGCAAACAAGCATCACCCGTCCTTCACTTTGCTTAAAAATGGCAACAATTCTGATACTGGCTATTATTTCCAAGTTTCTCTCAGGGGACCTGGTGCGTTTTTATACAAATAGATTTTTAGAAAGTCCTTGATATAGTTCAACAACTTATGCGTGCTTTGTAGTCAGGACCCCTCTGCCTCCCTCTCAAGACCCTCACTGAGTGTGGTTTTTTATTTGCCCTTATTTTTGCCACCATCTTTTATTACCATCATAATGTTCCATTGCCATGTTAACTAGAATAGGCTTTTCCGTCTCTCTGACCTCCCCTGACCTTCCACCCAGCAGCCAAGCTCAGGGACAAGTCTTTTGGATTCTAGCAGTGGAGATGGGCATGTTCCCTAGCATGAGCCCTAGATTCAGACAAGGGTGTTAATGAGTCAATCACTGGGCTTTAATTAACATGTCTATTTGCTAAAAGCATAGTTTTCCCTGCAGCCAGATGGCCCTGACTCTACACTCTTCAAGGTAATCTGGACCCTATCAACTAATTACTCTTTTTCCTGGCAGCAAGTAGAAGAAGCAATTTTAAAATTGTTTCTATTGATCTCAGGGAGTTTTCTACAGAATATCGCTTTCTGCAAAGATTATAATTATTTTCAGTTAATGTAGTCAAGAAATTTTACAGAGGAAGGGAAGTGCACATGCCACTTTAGAATGTACATCTGGAGTCAGCAAATTTGAGCTAATTCTGACACCAGCCTTCACTGGCTACGTGAATTTGGGCATGCCACTTAATCTCTATGAACCTTAGTTTCTTCCATCCATGAGGAGAGATAGTAGCTCTCGGAGCCATTTTGAGGATTAAGTTAGCATGAATCAAATAAAACAGTAAATTAGCATTGTTACCAAGAATCTCAATTTTCAACTCAATCTGATACATTTTCAACTCTTTGTTGGGATTCTCTTTTCTCTGTACAAATTCTCAATCGTCTTCAAGGTAGGGTTTTGTCCCTTACCCAGAATAATTACACTTGAGAAGTGTGTCACAAAGTTTGAACTAAAAGAATTTGCAGTTGACATGCAAGTGTACCTTGACCTTCTTTAAGAGGATGACTATGTTTTAATTTCAGAACGATGAGGTGGAGTTTGTGCGAACTGGCTATGGCAAGGATATGGTCAAAGTTCTCCATATTCAGAGAGATGGAAAACACCATACCATTAAACAGGTGTCAGCTTCTGTGCAACTGACTCTGAGTTCCAAAAAAGATTATCTGTATGGAGACAATTCAGACATCATCCCTACAGACACCATCAAGAACACAGTCCATGTCTTGGCAAAATTCAAAGGGGTATGTATCATTTTTCTTCTTATAAACTGCTCAATTTAATGCAGAATTCTCAATAATATATTAGTTGAATAATTACTTATTTCAAATTCCCTTTAACTTTTAACTGTTATTTTTACATTAACCATTTAAAAATATTTCTCTGTCTATATTGTAAGACTTTCAGAAATGCTTGCTTTTCTATATTTGTTAATAATGTGCATCTTCTTTCTTTTCCTTTATAATTATCTCTGTGTTCTCTTTTTTAATTTTCAACTCATTACATCTTTTTGGTAGAAAAGGCTACCTAACACCTCTACATGTTATCTCTTTAAATAAAACAGTCCCTGATAATCTTTCAGGATGAAAATTGTTACCGTGCATTTCTTTGAGTTGAATTATTTTTTTTAAAGGAGTGATACAGATTTATAGAAGAAAGTGTAATTTTCTTTCTTGTGGTTACATTCAAAAGAACTTTCATACTGTCAAATCAGAATCAACTCATACTTGACTTTCTAGTAGGTTTTCAGATACTGTAAATCTCATGGGAGGAGACTGGCCATCTTCCCCCTAAGGGACAGCTGGTAGATTCAAACCTCCTGCCTTTGGGTTGTCAGAGCAGCTTCTTATCCACTAGGTCATATGGAGTATAGAATAAATTTATTTTTATCAAAGAAATTAATTGATAAAAATTGTAATACTTGGGGTGGGGGTGGGGATGCACGGGGGACGGGGGTGGGGATTGTGTACCAATGAAGGAGTTTTTCTTTTGCTTTTCAAGGAGAGGAGCGAACTGGGGTTGGGGTTGGGGGTAGGTGGGTGGGGAGAAAAGTGCAACAATGAACGAATGGAATTCCAAAATCTTTGTAGATGTTCATTGAAATGAAAAAAAATTGTAATGCCTTACTAACTTTTAAGGTGATATTGGTGGTTCAATGGCAGAATCATTGCCTGTCATGTGAGAGACACCTGTTTGATTCTCAACCAGTGCATCTCATATGCAGCTACCATCAACAATGGTCTCTGTGTTTTTAGATTCTGACAAATTTTAACAGAGCTTCCATTCTAAAACAGAATAGAAAGAAAGAAAGGTCTGACAATACATTTTTTTAACCTGCTGTTGTTTTATTGTGTGTCATCAGGTCAGAACCCACCCATAGCTTACCTTCCAGTGGGCTTTCAGAGGTAGTAAATCACAATAAAAGATATTGTACACCAAAAGCCTTGTAGGTCACACTCAGGCACTTTGTTTCCTTTTGTTGTGCATGGTGTTGCCATGCCAACTCAGGACCAACTCAGTGGAAGCTAACAACAATTTTCCTAAAAGCTTATCACATAATTTCTCTCTCTCTCTCTCTCTCTCTCTCTCTCTCTCTCTCTCTCTGTGTGTGTGTGTGTGTGTGTTTGAATGATAGAGAGATAGTGTTTGTGTGATAGAGAGAGACAGAGGCAGAGAGCAAGAGAGAGAGAGACGGGAAAAGAGATAGGTATTGTGTTTGATTGAATTGATTCTGATTCATAGAGGCCATACAGGACAGAGTAGAATGGTCCCATAGGGTTTCTTAAGCTATATATTTTTACGTAAGAAGATTTTCAGGTCTTTTCTTCTATGGAACTGCTGGTGGTGGGCTCAAACCACCATCCTTGGGGTGGCACCTCAGTACTTTAACTATTATGATGCTAGAAAACCTTACTATAAATATGTGTTAGTTGCACTTTCCAAGAATCCAGCAGATTTCTGGTCAGCCATAATACATCCAAGTCAAGATAACTTTACATTTGCTTAGAAGTCTCCAAACACCTGAAATGTACACTGGAAATCTTCCCGCACCAAATTATGTGTAACTATGTGCACAGGTTGCACTGATATAACAAAATGAAGATACACTTTATGTAAGACCTATTTTTACCCTGAACTTTTCTCTTGATAATCAGATTGACCCAGCTACCATAGCAGGGCATGAGTCGCTATGAGTCGCAGGTGACTCGATGGCACATAACAACAACAACAGCATAGCAGAGATAGAGAAAATATCAGTCCTCTCTTTTCAAAAATCAGTTGAGAGATGAGCTCCGTACTGTGTTATGGAAGATCAGCACCAAGATCCTTATATTTCCTAAAATTACGTGGGAAGTTGCAGAAAAAGAAAGGAAATTACCTAGATGTTAAAGATAGTTTAAAATTAATTCATTATAGAGAGTAACAATTTAATTTCCTTTACAGTTAAGATACTTTTGGGAATGAAACATTGATACTTATTCTGAGACAAGTATAAACCAGAATAATTCCAGGGAAATATGTGAAAATAATCCATTTTCATTATAGATAGAACCACAAATAATTCACAAACTGTGCAAGGATCCTGAAACATTGCCTAGAGTTTTTGATGAAGGATCTGTATGTTGTTGTTATGTGGTGTTTGAGTCATCTGCGACTCATAGCGACCCTATGTACAACAGCCCTAAACCCTGCTCTATCCTGTGTCAGTCTCACTGTCTCTGACATATCTCCATTACCCCAGTCACTGAATCAATCCATCTCATCGAGGGTCTTCCTCTCTTGCACTGTCCCTCCACCCTCCCAAGCATGACATCCCTCTCCAAGGTCTGATCCCTTCTTGCAATATGTCCAAAGTCTGTCAGACGAAGCTTCAGAATCCTTGCCTCCAAGGTCTGATCCCTTCTTGCAATATGTCCAAAGTCTGTCAGACGAAGCTTCAGAATCCTTGCCTCCAAGGAGCAGCCTGTTCTCACCCTCTCTAGGACGAATCTGTTTGTTATCCTTGCAAAGATTCTCATCACTGGTCCGACTGGCAGCATTATGATAGATGGTGAAGAGACTGAGATTGTTCATAGCTTTAGTTTGCTTGGCTCTACAATCAACACTCTTGGTACCAGCAGCCAAGAAATTAAAAGATGAATTACATTAGGAAAGTCTGCTATCAGAGACCTCTCCAAAGTACTAAAGAGCAATGATGTCAGTCTGGAGACTAAGGTGTGCCTGAGCCAGGCCATAGTCTTTGCAACTACTTGCTATACATCAGAGAGCTAGACAATGACTAGGGATTACAGAAAGAGAATTGATGCTTTTGAGCTGTGGTCCTGGAGAAAAGTATTAAATATACAATTGACTGCAAGGAAAACAAACAGATTCGTTCTAGAGAGAGTGAGACCAGGCTGCTTCTTGGAGGCAAGGGTCTGTATAGAAATGGAAAGCTTCTTTATGGTAGCTGAGAGCTGAAGATGGTCAGTAGAAGGTCTATATGCAAAGCAAGTAGTCCCTGTATGGCATAAATGTTTAAGAGCTTGATTCCTAACCAAGTAGCTGAAAGCCATTGAGAGTTGCTAGCCTTCTACTTCCAAAGATCACAGCCTTGAAAATCTTTCACAGTGCAGTTCTGCTCCAGAATGCATGAAGTATTTGTGAGTCTAAATGGGCTCAACAGCAATTAACAATAAAAGCATGCAAAATAGGGACGCTGAAGTGACCCTTCATGAACTTTGCATTCAGAAATAGGAGACCCATTTACAAACTTAATACAAAGTGTCATGAAATTTAGATGGTTATTGGAATAATAAGAAAAATCTGAATGTTGATTACTTTTTGTTCAGTTGTTGAGATATTGTTCTGCAAAATGGATTTCTTACTTGATGATGGTATTTAGTAACCACACTTGGAGCTCTAGTGAGAAGTTATAGAATCATCTCCTCTGTTAAGATTCTAATTCTGTGTGTCTCTAATTTTAAAAGCAATTTGGTAAGAGAAGAGAGACTCATGTTAACCTAAAAATAATTTTTTAATGAGGCAAGTATCTCTGATGGCTGCCACTTTATTTCTTTACAGATCAAAAACATAGAAACTTTCGCTATGAACATCTGTGAGCACTTCCTTTCTTCCTTTAACCATGTCACCCGAGTTCAAGTTTATGTGGAAGAAGTCCCTTGGAAGCGTTTTGAAAAGGTTATCTCACTTATTTGTCTTCTCAATTTAGGAAATTGTCTTTCTGACATATGCTAAAATTTTAACTATTTTTTTTTCTAATTTCCAGAATGGTATTAAACATGTCCATGCATTTATTCACACTTCCACTGGAACACACTTCTGTGACATTGAACAGATGAGGAGTGGTGAGAGATCATTTTTTATGCTTTGAATCTGCAATAGCATTTCCAAGTCCTCTCTCTGCTCTCTAAACAACTCTATTTATTAGCACCTAGGAAACTGTGAAGAGAATTTTGATGACTTCTAAATCTGAGATGTGAATGAGCATTGTGATTTTGGATTATATTAAACTTCCCACTTTTCTCTTTAAAATGTTCTTGTTATGTGCCATTGAGGTGGAATGGATTCAAAGCTGACCCTCCAGTGAGTTTTCTGAGGCTGTTAATCACATGCAAGGAGATTGGCTACTAAGTGGCTGGTGGATTTGAACTCTGGAGCTTTGAGGTGGCACCATGCTCTTTGCCACTAGGCCATCAAATATAAAAATACAAAAATGAAATATAAAAAATTTAAATAATGATGCTAAGTGAAATATCTCAGTCACAAAAGGACAGATACTGCATGGTGCCACTGCTGTAAAATGGGACTGATATCAGGGTTGGGATAAGACTGAGAAAAACTTGATAAATTTTGTATACTGCATTGAAACAGTTGAGGGAGAGAATAATTTAAAAGTGATATATGATAGAGTATTATAGTTATCACAAGAGTCTGTGGAAGTGCTGCGGGGGGATTGTATACCAAAGAAATAATTTTTCTTTTACTTTTCAAAGAGAGGAGCAAACTGGGGGTGGGGGGCACAGGAAGGAGTGCTGGACAGGGAGAAAAGTGCAACAATGAATGAATGGAAATCCAAAATCTCTGCAAATGTTCATTAAAATTATTAAAATAAAATCTAAAAAAAACTAAAAGAAAAGAATTAAAAACATAAAAAAGTCTGGACGTTAAATGGGATAAGACATTCTTATTACCCATTATTAAGGTGAGGCAAAAGAAGAGGCCTCGACAGAGAAAATCTTTCAACTTTATTACCAGTATTTTTTGTTCAATTGCTATACTACAATTATATCGTAGTCTTTACTGGACATTTCTATTACCTTTTGTTTACATAATAATAAAGCTGTTGATTATTTAATTGTTAGAACAGAAATGTAATTTAAAATAAAAGTGATAATTCTATATTTATATTACTAAGAAATTTTGAAGTTAACTGTGAAACATAATCGTAATACGGACATTAGTAGTACTGATAATTAAACTTCGCAAATACTATTAAAACTCTCAGTTTGTCTTCTGATTGGTTGAGGTCAGAATAGAGTTAAGTAATGGCTAAGAATGAGACTAGAAGATCTCTAAGACTCATAAATGAAACATAGTAGTGTGTGTATTCATATATTTAGTGGCCTAGCGTGTAAGGAGTTGTGCTGCTAACCCAAAGGCAGGCAGTTCAAATCCACCACTATTTCCTGTGGGAAAAAGATGAACAATCTCCTGTTTGATTTACTACCTCTGGAAACCCACTGGAGGCTCGGCTATGAGTCAGTTTATTTCACAGCAAAGGGAATTTTGAGTTTTAGTGATGGTTATAAATGGAAGGTATGAACTCTGAACTAACTTCCTTCTTTCTTTCTCTCCCTCTTTTTAAACTTTCCTATTCTGTTTCTCCTGTCTACTCTAGCTTCCTTGAGGAGAAATTTGAGGTTACATCTAATACATTTAAGACATACTATATGGTTAATAAAATATGTGACCTTTTAAAAATTCTAAGCCCTATTGGATAGTATTCCCTTTAGAATGTTTTAGTGCATTGTTGTTGCTGTAGGTGTTATTGAGTCTTTTTTGACCCATAGCAACCCTATCAACAACAGATCTGAACGCTGTCCTAACCTGTGCCATCTACAACTTTCTGACACATTAGAACCCATTGCAGCAGTAATTGTGCCAATTCATCTGGTCAAGGGTCTTTCTTTTCTTCACCAACCCTCTTTCTGAGTATCATGTCCCTCTCCAACGAATATCCCCTTAGAGCAACATACCTGAAGTATACGAGGCAAAGCTTTATCATCTTTGACCCCAAAGACAACTCTGGCTGCACTTACTCCAAGACATATTTGTTTGTTCTTTACACAGTCCATGGGATGTTCAGTCTTCCTCTTCAACACCACAGATCAAAGGAGTCAATCCTTCTGTCATCCTTATTCATTGTTCAGCTCTCAGATTCATAGCAAGTGATTGGAAAGACTAAGGCCTGAATCAGGTGTGCCTTAATCCTCAAACTGACATCATTACTCCTCAATAGTCTGGAGAGGTCCTGGCTGATAGTACCAAGGGTGTTTACTGTGGATCCAAGTAAGATTAAGTTGTTGACAGTTTCAGTATTTTCTCCATATGTCATGATGTTGCTTATTGGTCCAGTGGAATAATTTTTGTTTTCTTGACACTGAGATACAATTTGTATTGAAAGCTATATTCTTTGATCTTCTGCAACAAGTGCTTTTTTCTTTGAAAGCAAAGGTTGTGTAATTTGCATAATGCAAATTATTAATGAATCTTCCTCTGATCTTGATGCCACATCCTTCTGCACAGAGTCCAGCTTCTCGAATAAATTGCTCAGCATATAAATTGCATAGGTATGGAGAGAGAATACAACCCTTCTTAATTTTAAATCAGGTAGTGTTCCCATTGGATTGGAGAAAGATTTATCAACAACATGTGCTATACATGTGACACAACCTTGCTTGCTGAAACTGAGAAGACCTGAGACATTTGCTGCAGAGGGTCAAGGATTGTAGTCTGCAATATGGATTCATACTCAATATCAAGAAAACAAAGATTCTCATCACTGGGTCAATGGCAGCTTCATGCTAGATGGAGAAGAGATTGATATTATTAATGATTTCAGCTTGCTTGGTTTCACAATCAACACTCTTGACACCAGCAATCAGGAAATCAAAGAATTAATTACATTAGAAAAGTCTGCTATTGGAGACCTCTGCTGAGTCCCAAAGAGCAAAATGTCCATCTAGAGACTAAGGTGCACCTGATCCAGGTCATGGTCTTCAGAATTACCTGTTATGTGTCAGAAAGCTGGACAATGACCAAGGATGACAAAAGAATTAAGGCCTTTGAGTTGTGGTGCTGGAGATAACTACTGAACCATGGACTGCCAAGAACTAACAGGTCTATCCTGGAGAGGGTTATGCAAACTCTACCTTGGAGGCTAGGATTTTGGGGCTCGATTTGAGTATGCTGCTGGTTGGGACCAGTCCTTGGAGAAGGACATCATGCTTGGAAGGGTAGAAAGACAGCACAGAAGAGAAAGACCCTCTATGAGCTGGATTGTCACAATGCCTGGAGTAGGGAAAGTAGTAGAGTCACAGATACGAGCCTGGCCCAGGATAGAGCAGGGTTCAGAGCTATGTGCATAGGGTCGCTATGAGTCCCGGCCAACTTTATGGCACAGAGCAACAACAGTACTGTTCCCTTGCTTTGTTCTAACAACAGTCTCCTGGTCTAGGTATAGGTTTCACATGAGAACAAGTAAGTGCTCTGAGATTCCCATCCTTCTCAATATTTAGAAGAATGGGAATCCATTAGTGTATTGTTGTTTTTATTGATTGCCTTCAAGTCGAGCACGACTCATAGCGAGCCTATGAACAAAAGGCCTGAAGCCCCTCTACAACTATTAACATTTATCAAAGTTCATAGAGATTCCAGAGCCATGTTTTTCAGGAAGTGGATGTCACTATTAGCAATCACTTAGTATTTTTTAATGTATATTAAACTTTATATATAGCTAAGGATGTTTCAATGTCTGATTAACAGTTCTAAATTTAGTACCATATAAAAAAGGACTAAGTTAATAGTTTTAGAATTAACTTGAAACTGTAATGATTTTTATTCACTTTGATATATGTAATCATAGTAAATATTAATCTTAAAAGAGTAGATTGTTAAAATCTTCTCCTTTCCTCCTCTTTCCTTCTCTGGTGTTTCAGTTTCTAGCACTGTCATAATGTAATATCTCAAAGTAAGTGTCTTTAAAGAACAAATATTTATTTTATTGCAATTAAGAAGGATAAAATTCCCTATTCAAGCCACTGACGTTAGGGGAATGTCCTCCTTTGCCTCTTTTTAGCTTCTAGTCACTTTAGAAATCCTTGGTATTCCTGGCTTTGTAGATGCTATGTCTGGTTTTGTGTCTCTTTTTCCGGTTGTTATTATTATTAGTAAATATTGATTGCATATTCAATCTATTTCAGACTGTAAAGGCTGGTAGAAATCATCGATATCCTTCTCTTTGGCTTTAGTTTTGGTGTATATGTTTGAATGATGTTTGTATTATCAGGTCTACCTTGTTAAGCATTCTGTCACTTCAATGCAACAGCATTGTACTTCAGAATGGATCTAGAAATGGTCTTTTTGCAACATGAATGCAACCTTATTTTTCCTTACTTTTTTATTCCGGCATAGTTCCTGGTATATGATTATCTGATTTAAAGTGGTCAGTGCCATCCATCTCAGCTCACCAATGCCATGGGTGTTTCAATTTTTATGTATTTTATTTCATTTTTTTAACATGTCCAATTTTCCTACATTCATGTTTCATACATTCCATGTTCTAATTATTAGTGGATGTTTGCAACAGGTTCAGAGCCATTATTAATAGAGTTTCTATCAGTCATAATGACAACTAGTCTTTTTATAAGATACCACTGAGAAGAGATTCGATTTGGGATCCACTCTACTCTGGCATGATCATATTAACATAAAAAGAAAATGTGTTCTTCTAAATAGAATCACATTCATAGTATAGAGGTTAGTACAACATAATATATTTGGAGGATACAATACAATCATACCTACCTTTCTTTTCTTCTTCTCTCTTTTTCTCTCTTTTCTTTCCTTCCCTTTTATCTTAGCCATATGATTTTTAAAGAAAAAGAGAGAAAGAGGTTGGTGACTAGATGTATTGACACAGTGACTGCAGAAACGGTCTTCTAGTGTGTCAGGAAGTGTGTGGATGGAACAGAATAGGACAGCGTTCAGATCTGTTGCTCACAGGGTTGCTAGGAGTCATACTCAACTGGACGGCACCTAACAACAACAACCTCAAAAGGTTATC